ATAGAGTTAAAATATTTTAGATGCTTCAAGTATAATTATATTAAAATATCAGCTCACAATTGTGTGATTTAAATTTTTTACAACTATTGTATATAGTTAACTGCCCTACCCTTCAGCAATATATCTTTAATATTTTGATATTTTCATCTTCACCATGTAATGGAACAGATAATGTGAAGAATGCCATAATTTCTAATTGAAGCAAGACATGTACATTATATAAAATGCATAAAATCTACTTTTCTAAGAGGAAATGGACTCCCTAAGAGATGAAATAAAGGACTGTACTGATGCACTGATAGTTATTTGCCTTCACAGTGTTCTCCATAGTAGGAAACCAGAGAAAAGATATGATTAAAGATATATGTCAATAAGATGTAGGCATGTAAGCAAGTGTTTTAATTATCTTCCTCTGATTTTCTCTCTAAATATGAAGACATCTAAAATCCCATTCTCTATTCCAGGGACATATTTAGTATTGTTCAGTGACAGCATAAATTTCTCCCTGCCATCACATTTATTATTGTTTAATTAAACAGAGACAAGTCAAGTGGTTCAGAAAGAAACCAAGTAAATGAATCCCCATCAGTTTTTACATAATTAATGGTATTCTCTTCTCTGTGGACCACACAATTTATTAAATTGCTGATCAGAACCACTTCAGATAAACATATTTATGTATTCTGAGAGACTTTTCTAGAAACTGTAGAATGTTTGAAATTAAGTCCGTAGATTTTTTTTTAAAAAAATGCATAAATATGGCAAAATTTAGGAGAATGGAAACTATTAATAGCACCTCATTACTGCTTTTTGCATTTCAAGAACCTCTAATATATTACTATAGCAATTTTGAAAGTAAAGTCACTTAGGAAATAGGATATGAGAAATTCACATATTAAAAATAAAGTATACAATAAAGAGATACTGGATTCTAGGGACAAAATAAATTCCTACCTGTCAGACCATGTACTTTTCTTCCTTTGGAGTAAATTACAAGTCAAATTTTACATTTAAATGGATCCAACCATAATATATATATATAGAACAATAATGAAGAAATGTCTAGCACAGCAACTTGCATCTTTCAAGATTTTATTTTAAAATATTTTACAAGAACTAAAATATATTTAAGATATATTGTTTTTGTTCCTTAAGATGAAGATTTGTATAGGGTGTCATAGAGTTTTATTCTCTCTGTGGTTCAGGAGAAGCCAGCAGTAATGATTCTCCATGAGGCCACCAACATCATAAGATAAACCCAGAAAAAGCAGGCTATTATGCAGAATCCATCAATAAAGAATCTAATGACCTCTAAGTATTTTGTTATTTGTGTTTGGTTTTAGCTAAGTTCTGTTTTTAGCATATTTTAAACATTATTAAAAACACTACTTTTTCAAGGACATATTGCAAATTAAAATAATTGATTCAGATGAAGAAAATTGTAAAAAATAGCTCTTTGTTCTGTATGTCAATCAGCAGTAAAAATTAACATGTGTTGTTAAAGAAAGGGTTGACCCATTCTAGCATGGTTTTTAGTGGGAGAATCCATTAAGTGATTCAGCAAAACTTGCAACAATTAATCAATAGCTTTGAATAAATTCCCAGAGGAAAACAATACATACTATATTGTGTTTAATGAAACCTATACATAAAATTATTTTCAATTTATGAAATGTATTATTTCAAATATAATAAGAATTATTTCCTTCATGATCCTTATATAATATTAAAGCTGTCTTTTTGTGCTGTCAGGACAGAGTATTTCTGGGATACTATTAATCAAATTGAAGAAGGTAAAAATAGGTTTATAAAATAGTCTAGACCCAAAAGGGAGGATAGACATTAACTTCTTGTCTGATATATTGGATACATTAATATACAATGCATCTTCAGAACTTGACCTTAAGTGTCAGGATTATAATGCACCATTTTTCTTTTTATAAGCAGTACTTTAAAGAGGTGTTTCTGGTCAACATTATTTTGTGCTGCAAGGTGAAAATGGTAAAACACATTGAAACATTAAATATACAACTCATTAAATACAATTTATCAGCCTGTATACATGTGTTCCTTTAATGTTAGACCTTACCAACAAAACTTCTAGATGCAAATTAATCATCAACATGATGCTGTGGAAGCATAAACTTTATTTATTTATTTTTTAATTTCTTCCAATTTCGCTGAATTAATAGTATCTTTTAAGACCATAATCAAAATACATATTTAGATATTTCCTTCTTTTATGTTTGTTTGCATCAATTTTTATTCATAAAGAAGATGTAGATCTTCAGCTAACACTAGATATTGGTCAGTGTTGATCTCAAGGTAAATAGCCCAAAGAAAAACATTAGCTTCAAATATTCACCTAAAATCTGACTGTGTGACTACTGCTTGACCAAGTACCATTGACAAAGTCAATCTCGAAAATTCAGACCTCCCCTTCCCTTTCTAATGGAGGTCTTTAAGGGAGTGACATCCTTCATTCTAATTTATTGTGACCCCATGTATCTACAGGTGTAATTGGGTTTTTTAAGTTTTTATTTAGACCATTCCATACCTAGTAGTAAAGTGGAATGTATCATGGAGGACAATGGAACAAGAATGGAAGTTGAAATAAAGACATTCTTTTAAATCCCATCTAAGTCATTTAATCTCTTGGCCATTCAGTTTACTTTAAATGGGCATGGAAATGCTTTCCATTTAAGGATTCCTGGGTTTAAAATAAATTTCTACATTAAATAGTAAGAATATTCACACAAAAATATCCATAGTTCATGGTAAGCACCCATCAATTTTGGTGATCTTCCTTCAAAAAATAATATACAAATAACATTCTTATTAGATTTCCATCAATTCAGTTGGACTCCTTCAATAGCCTTCCTTTCATTTATTAATGATATGAATGTGCTAAAGAATGAAACTTTTTAGTTTAGAAAATGCTTTTTTTCAAACATATAACAGGAAAAATGTTTTCCATTCGTTCATCCGAGGCATGGTTATCAGCAAAACACTGTAAATAAAAACATAGATCAATAGGTAAACAGATAGTGATAGTGAACTTGCTCTTGGCTGCTTGCTTTATTCAAAATATTAGATTAAGGGATATTTTTAAAATAGTGATTAGAATAAAATCTGGATGATACAGTTTATCTCACATGGCACTCAAAACATGAGAACAAGTAACTTGGGAGTTGAGAAAATATTTTTCAAACTTTAAGCAAAAATAAAGCCCAATGTTCCAGTACAATCCCAACAAGAATATTTTCCATCTTCGAGATGCCATTAAGAAATGAGTTCAAATAAAAGCACTGATACAGATGTATATCACATTCACTGGTGAATATATCATGAAAACTTGCCCTGTGGATATTTGGATGATGGTTTTAATGAATTTGGAAAAGAGACTGGTTTAATAAAAGTTAAAACTACGTTGATGACTGTGCCAACAATAATGTAATCATCCTGATCAGGTCCAGGTCATAGGAACAAAACACAGACTCTCTAGGATAAACAAAATGAGGATTTAAAAGCAGAAAGCCTGTTGGGCATGGTGGCTCAGGCCCTGTCACCCCAGCACTTTGGGAAGCCAAGGCAGGAGGATCACTTGATGCCAGTTGTTTGCGACCAGTCTGAGTAACATTGCGTGACAACCTCCTCCCCATTTCTCCAAAAATAAAAAAAAAAAAAAAAGAATTAGCCGGGGGTGGTGATGCACACCTGTAGTCCTAGCTAATCGGGAGGCTTAGGGAGGAGGATCACTTGAGCCCAAGACTTTGAGGCTGCCGTGAGCCATGATCATGCCACTGCACTCTAGCCCAGGCAACAGAATGAGATTCTGTGAAATAAATAAATGAATAAGGAAAACCAACAACAAGAATGATTCCTTCTTCTAAATGAAAGGTAAAAGAATAGTAAGGAGATTTGCTAAGAAGGAAAGATGTATTTTAGTGAGAGGAGATATTTGTACTTTGTAGAGATATCAAATAAAAAAGAATAATTGAAGCCCTCAAAACTATTTAGAATTAAGAAATATAATTAATTATTTTTATTCTGGAAATCATCTCTTTGTAATGTTACATTTATTTTTATGTTTACTTGTTTAATGTTTGCTTTATCCCTTTTGAGGGTAGACTATGATTTCTAGAAATGTGTTTTTTGTACAATATTATAAAGGAAATATATATAGCAACTAGCACAGTGCTGGGCACATAATGATTGCTAAATAAAATTTAATGAATGTCCAGTGAGTAAGTGACTGAATGGTTGCATGAAAAATGTAGAAAAAGTTGCCACAATTCTGTAAGTACATAATCAGGCCTTTATTTGCTTAGTTTCCAAAATTTGTTCTTACTATTTCTAACTTTACCAACCTCATTTTTTTTTTTCAAAGAGATAGAGGAAGGTGGTATTTGAGAGATACCAAAAAAAAAAAAATTTGTTAGTTGATAACAAAGCTACTCTTTCACATTATGAATAAAAACTGCTAGGAAATTAAGGTTATTTCATGATTACATATTTCTCAAGGTCTGAATCTTAGGTTTAATACTCAATATCTATGTTTTCAATCTGTGAAAAAATATTATAAAGCATTATCAAGTTTCTATATTTCACTGTCTTCTCTTGAGAGAAATGTTTAAAAAGACTAATTATTTAAAGTCAAAGTAAGACTTATTAGTGTTGCTTGTTCCTATGACTAATTAATGAGGAAATGGCATGTCCTTACCGTTTGATTTGTTGCTGATTAATAAATCAATAAAGTATTACTGGAAGGAAAAAAGAAGAACAGAAACACACTCATATAATGAGATGATGGTTGCCCTTTTTCACTTTCTGAATACTCATGGTCTCAAAAAAAATCCACATCATAAATGAAATTAGCTGGGACCACTGCCAGACTTTTGAAGGAGGACTAGAATTGATGGCTCATGAAGATTAAATTATTCATTCACCCCTGGAACATGAAACTCCAGGACAGAGTTGGGACACAGCCATTATGGTTGCAACTTGTCATTGCCCTTGCTGCCATGAGTTTCATTTCTCAATAAACAGGACTTTCAAGCTTCAATGTTGTTATTATAAGTTCAGTTCTTTAGATGGTGCCTCAGTCTGGTGTACACGTTCATGACATGGCTAAGATAAAAAAAAAAAAAAAAAAAAAAAGGGCATGGTGGTGCATGCCTGTAGTCCCAAAGAAGGTAGAGGCTGAGGCAGAGGGATCTTGAGCTAGGCTGACGCCACGGCACTCTCGCTAACAAAATGAGAGTCTGCATACTAAAACTCAAAAAAAAAAAAAAAAAAAAAAAAAACTAAGATTTTTGGTGTCTCCCGGTCTAAGAATTTCTAAAGACATTACAGAGACATGAAAAGGATCCTATATAATATAGGCAGGCGTTAGCCACCTTTGAGCCTTTTATGCTGGTTGGATAGACTAGCTCCAAAATGAAGTGTTAAGGGCTTCACAATGGATGCCTAAAACTTAAGGTCCATTGATGCCTCTTTCTGTAGGTGACATTATCACCATTTAAATATCTCGAAATGGGCCATATGAGGAAAGTGCAGAGGTGGACTTAGAACAGAAGTAGAAAACCCTTCAGCCTTCCTTTGGTCCTTGGCAAGTCTCAATCATCACTGGTCCGAAAGATACATTGGCTGTCTCACTTGCAGCTCACACCTGGGCTGCCTCCATATCCACGGGGTTCTGGTCTCTTACTGGGGCTCATGAAACACTTTCTTCACTTTGGATCTCTCCTTTGGTTCAGCCCTCCTGAATCATACCTTCTTACTCAACATAACTCCCACTCTGTTCCCAACCAGCTCATTACCTAAAGGTAAGGTACAAACCTGGGTCGAAGGTTCTATACCCATTAAGATAATTCACCATTTTAAAGTGGCGAAGCACCAGACACCTAATTAGTCCAATTTGGAAACTTATAACACCTCCGGACCTTTGATGAATGCTAAATCTTTCACCCACATCTATTTAGTGCATCAAATAGTTCGTAGAATCTTAGTAGGGTCTTCAGAATCATGTACTTCTAGTGGTACTGTTTCATTTTACCTTACAAAACTGACCTCCAGTGATCATGCATTTCACATCATTCACACTATTATTTGATGACAGATTTTAAATGACCAGAGCCTCTGATTTTCAGCATTACTATGTGGTCTATTGATTGAATATATTCTTCTATCTGGTGGTATTTTTAAGCAACTCTGTATATTGAACTATAATATCCTTCATTGTTAAGAGTGTTATTATTTTGCATTTAGGAAGTATTTCTTATCAGAATTTTAATATTTGTGAATGAGCATCATGGCACGGCATGATATCAAATTGCATCCTATGAATCTAACATGATTTTAGCAGTTTCCACAAACAAGAAAAGATACACACACACACACCAACAAAACATTATTCATCATAAGTCTATGATTAGCAATTTTAATATACTTGACGAATAAATTGAAAAATATCTAGAATTTGTCTTTATATACTCTACAATTTAGCAGTTACATATATATAATTCCTAATATATACATACATATATATAAAATCTTGAAAATTCCTTTTAACAGCAGTTTTATAATTATATAATATTTAACAATAATTAATGCTATTAATTTAGAATAAATAATATATAGATCTAGGGGTTTTTTTTCTCTAATTCAGAATATTTCTTTATGTTGGACCCACTAATCCTGAAATAGCTAAGCTGCTCTAGTATAGCTCTTCAAGTTTCTGTTAGTAGGTAGACCAAGTGCTTTTATGGAACTCTAATATTTTAGGCTAATACGCCTTTAAAAATCCTGTAAGATTTACCACAGACCCATCAAGACATGAGCGCAGGCACAAAACTGTTACTAAAATTTGGACTAGGAATGAAAGGAAATGCCTAACTGAAAACATTATAAAGCAAAAAGGAGAACATTAAAAATGCAACATTAAAAGACTAATGTCACCTTCACAAAAAATAGTGGGAACTTACTAATGTTTGCCTGGTGATGGTCATTGATTTTATATCAAGGGAATGACTGATTTAAGAATTGATATTTGAAAGGTAGACTTTTTTTTTTTAAGATTTCTACTTTAGCTGCAAAATTATACTTCTTTCAAAATTGCCTGAAGAAAATTATTATCACCCTAACTTAAACCTTTATTTTTTTCAGATGTCTGAAATGAAGGTCAACTTTATGCACAGTAACTAACTTCTTAATCTTTGGGCAATTTACATAATGTGGATGTACACAGATTTTGCAATGAAATTAATACATACATTTTTATTTTGCATCGTTTGGTCGACAGGATCCTAGAATTGTTTACTGGTTACAATATGTGTATGTTAGCAAGGCCTAAATTAATATGAAACCTACACATAAAACTTTGCTTTTTTTTTTTGCTTTTATTTTCTCCCCAAACAGCATTCAGTTCTATTTGGTTTTCTTTTCATGTACAATGTACCACTATTGAGCCTAAATATGGGTAGCGTGGTTTCAAGTCAGGGTAGTTGATTAGTTCTTAATTATTTAGACTTCTTACCTTTGAACAAAATTATGTGGAAAGTAAGATGACCATCCACGGTTAGACAAGTGATATGTGACCATGAAAAACACCAACAAAAATGACAACGAATCTGTCTTTCCTGTCGCACCCCACAACTCATTCCAAGTGGAACAGCCAAGGTGGCTCCCTTAATCTTAAAGCAAAGTACTGTGATAAACATTAGACCTCTGTCAGTCTTGAAGTGGTTAGGGGGCATGATAGCTATATTTTGCTGATAACATTATTGTGAGGATTATTTGAGTTATTGTAAAGGTGTAGCCTGATAATCAGTAGGGAAGAACTATACTACAGCATACTCAGATTTTCCCTAAATGATTTTTTTTTTTTTTTTGAGACAGAGTGTCGCTTTGTTGCCCAGGCTAGAGTGAGTGCCATGGTTTCAGCCTAACTCACAGCAACCTCAAACTCCTGGGCTCAAGCGATCCTCCTGCCTCAGCCTCCCGAGTAGTAGCTGGGACTACAGGCATGCGCCACCATGCCCGGCTAATTGTTTCTCTCTATATATTTTTTTTAGTTGGCCAATTAATTTTTTTCTATTTATAGTAGAGATGGGGTCTCGCTCTTACTCAGGTTGGTTTTGAACTCCTGACCTCGAGCTATCCACCCACCTCGGCCTCCCAGAGTGCTAGGATTACAGGCGTGAGCCACTGCGCCTGGCCTTCCCTAAATGATTTAGTCTTATTTGAGAGCTCCTCTGCCTCTCCTATAGATAGCAAATGGAGAAGCTTAGCTCTAATCTGAGCAGGTAATATGCATTGCAGGAAGTTTCTTAACCTTTGATATTCTTATATTTACCTCTTCTTCCTCTCCTTTCTAGTAAGAGGTCTAAAGTGCATATGCGGTCTGGTTACAGGGAGGACCAGAGAGGCCACCTCTGATTTCATGAGTGGCTGGTCTGATTCACAGGTGGACATGGACAGCTATCAAGGGAAGTATGGTTGCTCCAGGCTGTGCTATGTTTTTCACTGACATTTGTTAACTGTGGTGACTCTCATTGATTTTCTAGTCATCGACATTGCTTCCAGGAATCATCAGCTTGCACATCAGAGTATTTCCCTTTGTTTACTCGGTCCAACCTGGATTTTTAGTTGATCACACACCACTGTGGTCTAGTCATGGCTTCATTCAGTTTTCGTCTGAATGGCTTTCAGTAGAGCTCCCCCATTTCCTTAGAAACCCTTTCTGCAGGTCCCCCAGTCAGACTTGCATCCAACTTCTGAATGCATCCCCCCCTCCACTGCATCCCCAAGCTCATGTGGGATTCCTGGCCCCTCACTTTGTCAGAGGGTCGTGGCTGCTCAGTGGTCCCTTTGCAGGCTCTTTTTGTTGCTCACTACATTTTTTTTTTTTTTTTTTTTTTTTTTTTACTGACTTTTGTTGTTTTGCAGCTACTTTAGCCAGAGGGTATAGAAGACAGTCTGTGGGGTTATTCTCTTCTGGATACCTAAAAAGGAAATACCCTCTATTTTAAGGGTCCACTTGATAATTCCTTACCTCTCCCTCGAGCACAGAGAAGCAGTATCAAAATACAGGTGTCTCACCACTAGATCTCCTTTTCTCTGCTTCCCTTCTCCTGAGACCCACCAGGGTGAGAAGGGATGAAATTTCTGTTTTTTCCCCTCTACCCTGGGCCATATACTCTGATCAAGCAGATTTTTGCATTTGACATGTTACGCTGAATTAAAGGAATTTAGAAAATCATTTTGCACAGGTAAGGCCTGGCATTCAAGGTCTTGCTACTGCTGGTGGGCATCAGCTCTGATGCTCAGAGCCTATCAATGCCCTCCTTATTCTAGGCAGAATAAATCCTTTCCTTCCTGGGCCAATATTTGTCCTGGCTGACCCTTAAAAGTGGAAGACTTGGAGGGAAAATATTTTATGGAAAAATAATATACATCCTTTTAATATCTCCCCCAAATCATCCTTATGAGTTAAGTGCTTTCATGTAAAATATATATATATATACACATATATATCACTAAAGTCTCACACAATCTTATGAGGAAGACAATTGTCTTTATTTTGCATCTGATAACACTGAGGTTTTAAGAGTTTAACAACTAGCCCAAAGTCATCTAGTGAGCTAACTTCAGGGGAGCTTTTGAATTGAGATACTGTAATTGCAGAGTGCATATGTTGATCCATCTAGCAATGCCTTTTTTATAAGACTTATTTAAAATTTCTATTGAAAAGTTATAAAGTTTGGGAATTTCAAGACACTAGCAGATTTGTTCTGGGGGAGAGGAGGAGGTGGGAATAGAATATTTGAGAACAGAACCTTCAGGCATTTTAAGGAACACACACCAGCCAGGCTGTGTACCGTAGGTTTTCTTCTTTTTGCAATGCTCAACCTGTTGTCCAAGATGCTTTATTCTTCACCCTGACAACTCAGGAATTGTATTCAGATTCTATCTTTTCAATGGATTATTGCTGCACATATAGTTATGTTTACAATAATACCTTCATTAGTGACTTTATTGATTGAAAGAAACTTGTAATATACACAGAAGTTTTACTAAAATCAGTTTGAATTAATTGACTTTTAATTAGATTTTGAATACATTTCCCT